GAATAAACACACAACAAAACAACAAACGAACCGTGAAGTCCAAGGTAGCACACAAACAACATACCTTACACGGAACAAGATCCCACAACTAACTAGTGCCAAAAGGCTGCCTAAGTATGGTCCCCAATCAGAGACAACGAGCGACAGCTGCCTCTGATTGGGAACCACACCGGCCAACATAGAAATAGACATACTAGATACTACACCATAGAACAAACACAACACGGAATATACACACCCTGACTCAACAAATACACGTCCCCTGAGTCAGGGCGTGACAGTACCCCCCCCCCCCCCCCCCCCCCACAAAGGTGCGGACTCCGACCGCGCCACATAAACATAACAGGGTAGGGGCCGGGTGGGCATTCCGCCTCGTAGGCGGATCCGGCTCCGGGCGTGACCACCACCTATTCTCCGCCTCCCTGTTGCGCCCCTGGTCTGGTCTGGACCTCGGCGCGCTGCTTCCCCTCTCCTTCCTCCCACGAAGTACCAAGCCCTGTCTGGACCCTGGTGTGGGAGACCCCGAACCTGGAGAGAGGCTGACGTCTGGGTCTGGACTGGAACCGGTGACTGGAGCTGGACCCGACGACGGTGGAGCGAACTGTTCTAGCTCCGGAGTGGAGCCGCTGACCGGAGCTGGATCAGGCACCGGTGGAGCGGACTGCTCTGGCTCTGGAGTGGAGCCGCTGACCGGAGCTGGACTGGACCCCGGTGGAGCGGATTGCTCTGGCTCCGGAGTGGAGCAGCTGACCGGAGCTGAACTGGGCACTGGTGGAGCGGACTGCTCTGGCTCCAGGCACCGGTGGAACAGGCACGGGCCGGACCGGGCTGACGACGCGCACCACTGGCTTGGTGCGGGGAGCAGGAACGGGCCGTACCGGACTGGCGACGCGCACCACTGGCCTGGTGCGGGGAGCAGGAACAGGCCGGGCTGGGCTGGCGACGCGCACCACTGGCTTGGTGCGAGGGGCAGGAACAGGCCGGGCCGGGCTGGCGACGCACACCACTGGCTTGGTGCGAGGGGCAGGAACAGGCCGGGCCGGGCTGGCGATGCGCACCACTGGTTTGGTGCGAGGGACAGGAACAGGCCGGGCCGGGCTGGCGACCCGCACCACTGGCTTGGTGCGAGGGGCAGGAACAGGCCGGGCCGGGCTGGCGACGCGCACCACTGGCTTGGTGCGAGGGGCAGGAACAGGCCGGGCCGGGCTGGCGACGCGCACCACTGGCTTGGTGCGAGAAGCAGGAACAGGCCGGGCCGGGCTGGCGACGCGCACCACTGGCTTGGTGCGAGGAGCAGAAACAGGCCGGACCGGGCTGGCGACGCGCACCACTGGCTTGGTGCGAGGAGCAGGAACAGGCCGGGCTGGGAACACGCACCACTGGCCTGGTGCGGGGAGCAGGAACAGGCCGGGCTGGGCTGGCGACGCGCACCACTGACTTGGTGCGAGGGGCAGGAACAGGCCGGGCCGGGCAGGCGACGCGCACCACTGGCTTGGTGCGAGGGGCAGGAACAGGCCGGGCCGGGCTGGCGACGCACACCACTGGCTTGGTGCGAGGGGCAGGAACAGGCCGGGCCGGGCTGGCGATGCGCACCACTGGTTTGGTGCGAGGGACAGGAACGGGCCGGGCTGGCGACCCGCACCACTGGCTTGGTGCGAGGGGCAGGAACAGGCCGGGCCGGGCTGGCGACGCGCACCACTGGCTTGGTGCGAGGGGCAGGAACAGGCCGGGCCGGGCTGGCGACGCGCACCACTGGCTTGGTGCGAGAAGCAGGAACAGGCCGGGCCGGGCTGGCGACGCGCATCACTGGCTTGGTGCGAGGAGCAGGAACAGGCCGGGCCGGGCTGGGAACACGCAACACTGGTTTGGTGCGAGGAGCAGGAACGGGCCGGACCGGACTGCGAAGGCGGACTGGAGGTCTGGAGCGGAGAGCTGGCACAACCCGTCCTGGCTGGCTACCCACTTTCGCACTACACATGCGGGGCGCTGGCACAGGACGCACTGGGCTGTGCATGCGCACTGGCGATACAGCTCGTAGAACAGGCGCAGGATATGCAGGACCAAGGAGGCGTACTGGAGACCAGGAGCGTTGAGCCGGCACACCCCATCCTGGCTGAATGCCCATCTTCGCACGACACATGCGTGGTGCTAGCACAGGACGTACAGGACTGTGCCGGCACACTGGCGACACAGTACGTAGCTCCGCATAACACAGAGCCTGCCCAGTCACACGCTTCCTCGCGTGAGTAGGGGAAGTTGGCTCTGCTCTAACACTAGGCTCCGCCAACCACCCTTTTAGCCCCCCCCAAAAAAAAATATTGTGGCTGTCTCTCGGGCTTCTTCCTCGGCCGGCACCTTCTGCGTTGCCGCTGCTCCTCTCTATACTGCGCCTCCACTGTCTCCTCCCAAGGACGGCGATCCATCCCGGCCTGAATCTCCTCCCAAGTCCAGGATCCCTTACCGTCCAGGATCTCCTCCCAGGTCCAGGCTGTCTGCTCCTGGACACGCTGCTTGGTCCTCGTTTGGTGGGATCTTCTGTCACGTTCGTTTATAGACGGGACGGACCAAGGCGCAGCGTGATATGCCAACATGTTTATTTAACGAATAAACACACAACAAAACAACAAACGAAACGTGAAGTCCAAGGTAGCACACAAACAACATACCTTACACGGAACAAGATCCCACAACTAACTAGTGCCAAAAGGCTGCCTAAGTATGGTCCCCAATCAGAGACAACGAGCGACAGCTGCCTCTGATTGGGAACCACACCGGCCAACATAGAAATAGACATACTAGATACTACACCATAGAACAAACACAACACGGAATATACACACCCTGACTCAACAAATAAACGTCCCCTGAGTCAGGGCGTGACAACAGTAGCATACATAGGCCTACTTCAATGTAAAACATCAACTGTTCAGCTGTTAAATTCGACTGTATACCGGTATTATAAACCTCGCTGATATTGCAAAACTTGAAATAGCCTACATATAGCACATCCATGTATTTACTAGGCTACTAGGTCCAATTAAATTAGAGATGCACATGGTAATTTGTTATAGGCTATGACTCCTTCGGGAATATGAACCCATCACGGACAGAAAAGGTGAGGAATTTATTTGGCAATGGTTTTGAAAATAAAATAATAGGAACAAGATTCCTATGTCTAATTATTTGAGATTCTTAAAATAAAACACTGATTTTCGCTCTTCTCACCAATGGCAAATGGCTGCATTCTTGTTAATACGTTTTCCTGTGTTTAGTTTTTTTTATTAATAAGCTTTTCATCATATCCCCAATTTGCACACAATGCTTATTGCCAGCGTGAAATATAATATTCAAACCACTAGCAGATGTGAGTACGCATGGTCTAAAGTTTTTCCACATCATGTAAAACGTTTATAAATGCCAACTTTTGCATGAAAACTGGCGCATGCACATTTTGGGGTATATTTTGTATGTATGCAGGGTTTACAAATGAGGCCCCAGGAACCAATGGTCTGGAGTGTGATTGCAACACAGGTTACCCAGTGGTTACCAAGTTACATAAGGACATTAGTAAATATATACCCAATGCATGGGAGGTAGGGGAGAGCAAGCTGACCTGTGTGCCAGACCTGAGTTCAAATAGTATGTGTTCTTTTGAATACTTTGAGTGTTTGAGTCCATCTGGAGTGCCAGATGGGTGGGGTTTGCACTTCTGGGACTATTTCATTGGTTCCATTACACCAGGCCAGCTCAATCAAGCCTAGGTAAAGTATTTAAAATCATTTAAAATAGTATTTAAACCTGGTCTGCCTGTGTGGTTTCAAAAGCCATCCCATCTCTTCCTGGTTTGAGCCAGGTTCTTATTAATGTAGTCTAGGATGAGCATGGTTTTATTGCAACAGCACAAGCGTGGCACACTTATTCAAATCCTAATAAATTAAGTCAACAGCATGTGCCATCCTTGGAGCTGAGGGGGGCGGACTTACCTGCATTGTCTGGAAAGACAGTCACTTCTAGTTATGCTACAGTTTACACATAAGCATTTGTAGACAGTCATAATAGTCTTCATATTGTTATAGCCAGTGGTGTAAAGTACTTAAGTAAAACTACTTAAAAGTACTACTCAAGTCGTTTTTTTGTTATCTGTACTTCACTATTTATATTTCTGACAACTTTTACTTAACTACATTCCTAAAGAAAAGACTGTACTTTTTACTCCATACATTTTCCCTGACACACAAACGTACTCATTACATTTTGAATGCTTAGCAGGACAGAAAAATTGTCCAATTCACTCACTTATCAAGAGAACATCCCTGGTCATCCCTACTGCCTCTGATCTGGCAGACTCACTAAACACACATGCTTTGTTTGTAAATTATGTCTGTGTTGGAGTGTGCCCCTGGTTCTCCAGAAGAATAATAAAATAAAATGGTGCCTGTTTAATAATATAAGGAATTTAAAATGACTTATACTTTTGATACTTAAGTATATTTTACTCAAGTAATATTTTACTGGGTGACTTTCACTTTTACTTGAGTCATTTTCTATTAAGGTATCTTTACTTTTACTCAAGTATGACAATTGGGTACTTTTCCCACCACTAGTTATTGCTAATATAATAAACTAATATTATCAAACGTGTTTAAGCCCAGCTTGGACAAAAAGGGTGCTAAACGGAGGGACTTTACCCCAAGTCACCTCAACTTAGAAAAACAAGAACTGCAATGATCTTTGAGGTTCATTAGGGACCAAAAAAATGAAGATTGTTCCTAATGAAACTCTAAATCTGAGGGGGGAGGGGGACAGAGAGTAAATGTACATTCATATTTCATAACTGTGTGCTGTTATGTTTTGGGAGGCCTTTCAAAAATGTTTGTTCCCTAGAGAGAGCGACTGAGAGACACCACATTGATTCTGTTCTTTTCTTCCATCCATGCAGGTGGGATGTCATAGTCAAAGCTCCTTGGATATCTGAGAGACATTGAGGAACCAGAGCCGCCATGGACTCCTGGGTGTTCCCCTCCTCGCTCCCCAACATAACCGAAGAGCCCCTGATGTATGACAGCTTTATTCTGGGCAACGAGTCAACGGAACCCAATGGTACCTATACTGGTGACAACACGTTCAACCAGACCAGCACCATGGTCATCACCTTCCTCTACTTCCTGGTGTGTGGTATCGGTCTCTGCGGCAATGCCCTGGTGATCTACGTCATCCTGCGCTATGCCAAGATGAAGACGGTCACGAATATTTACATCATGAATTTGGCGGTTGCAGATGTTCTGTTCATGTTGGGGTTACCGTTCATCGCCATTCAGCTGGCGCTGGTCCACTGGCCGTTTGGTGCGGTGCTGTGCCGCGTGGTCATGACCGTGGACTCACTCAACCAGTTCACCTCCATCTTCTGCCTTATGGTCATGAGCATCGACCGCTACCTGGCCGTGGTGCACCCCATCCGGTCCACCAAGTGGCGCAAACCACGTATGGCCAAGACCATCAACCTGGCGGTGTGGGGGGTGTCGCTCCTGGTCAACCTGCCCATCATTATCTACAGCGGTTTAATCACCAAGCACAATAGTTGCTTCTGTACCATCGTGTGGCCAGAGCCCGGAGGAGGCCTACTACACCGCCTTCATGTTCTACACCTTCGTCCTGGGTTTCTTCCTCCCGCTCATGGTCATCTGCCTGTGTTACCTTCTCATCATCATCAAGGTCAGTCTCATTGTCATCTGCCTGTTACCTCACTATCACCATCAAGGTCAGTCACATGGTCATCTGCCTGTTACCTCACCATCACCATCAAGGTCAGTCTCATGGTCATCTGGCTGTTACCTCACCATCACCATCAAGGTAGTTCATGGTCATCTGCCGTTACCTCACCATCACCCATCAAGGTCAGTCTCATGGTCATCTGCCTGTTACCTCACCATCAAGGTCAGTCTCATGGTCATCTGCCTGTTACCTCACCATCACCATCAAGGTCAGTTTCATGGTCTCTCTGCCTGTTACCTCACCATCACCATCAAGGTCAGTTTCATGGTCTCTCTGCCTGTTACTTCACCATCACCATCAAGGTCAGTCTCATGGTCATCTGCCTGTTACCTCACCATCACCATCAAGGTCAGGTTCATGGTCATCTGCCTGTTACCTCACCATCACCATCAAGGTTAGTCTCATGGTCATCTGCCTGTTACCTCACCATCACCATCAAGGTCAGTCTCATGGTCATCTGCCTGTTACCTCACCATCAAGGTCAGTCTCATGGTCATCTGCCTGTTACCTCACCATCACCATCAAGGTCAGTTTCATGGTCTCTCTGCCTGTTACTTCACCATCACCATCAAGGTCAGTCTCATGGTCATCTGCCTGTTACCTCACCATCACCATCAAGGTCAGTTTCATGGTCATTTGCCTGTTACCTCACCATCACCATCAAGGTTAGTCTCATGGTCATCTGCCTGTGTTACCTCACCATCACCATCAAGGTCAGTCTCATGGTCATCTGCCTGTGTTACCTCACCATCACCATCAAGGTCATGCTTGTTTTACACCGTTCTGCCACCACTACGGTCCATATTAGGACAGCCTCAGTGTCATCATGCTACTGATACAACTCCTGCTGAGACAGAGGCTGACCTACATAGATGAGACTGACAAATCCAAGACTACTGCCATCTTTCTATACTTTTATTTTCATTTTAAGCTGACTAAATTGTTGTGCCCTATCGTATGTTGTCATGGTAGCAGGGTGAGTGTACTTTAATCTATTGTTTTCTTCTTTTGTTTTTGTCTGTGCGGTGTAGTGCCTTGAGATGTAGCTATATTTACCTATATTTTAAAGTGGGCTATATAGATCAAATCTATAATTATTACTACTATTAAAGTGAAGTCCTCAGGGATCTGTGTCGGGTCCCCTAATATTTACCTATTTTTTTTAAAGCTATACAAATAAAATCTATTATTTTTTAGGTGAAGTCCTCAGGGATCCGTGTCGGGTCCACTAAGAGGAAGCGCTCGGAGAGGAAGGTGACCCGCATGGTGTCCATCGTGGTTGCCGTGTTCGTCTTCTGCTGGCTGCCCTTCTATGTCTTCAATGTGACTTCGGTGACAGGAACCATCTCCACCACACCCTTCCTGAGGAGCACCTTTGCCTTCGTGGTGGTCCTAGGTTACGCCAACTCGTGTGCCAACCCCATCCTTTACGCGTTCCTGTCAGAGAACTTCAAAAAGAGCTTCCAGAACGTTCTGTGTCGGAAGAAGGTGGGCGGGCTGGATGTGATTGAGCGCAGCGATAGCAAGCAGGACAAGTCTCGTATGATGAATGACCCCACGGAGACTCAAAGCACGCTGCTCAATGGAGACCAGCAGACCAGCATTTGATGCTTGTTTATTCTAACACATCCCCTTATGTGTGATCTATACAGACATCTTTGATTTCACATCAAAGCTCCCTCACAAGCTCATCACACACAAACAAAAACACAAACAAAACGCACACATGCACACACACGTACAGAAACAAACACACATGTTTCTGCAGATGGAATTGATCATCCTGACCTGTTATCATGCCCTATGAACAACTCATGTAGGGAGAGTGATTGTAGTTGATCTCATGGTGTGATATTCTGTAAGCATTCTCGTCCCCCTTGGATGAGGTGAAAAAAGGCCAAAGGAACTAAGCCCTCATGGTGTCTGCTCCTCAACGGCTGTTATCACCCTCTTCATGTCTCATATTTCTGTTTACAACCTCTCTCTTTACTTTCTAAAAAGACATACAATGATATGACAGTGGGTTTTCCTGGTCGTAAAACCCATCAATTGAAATATAGTCATAAAGGAGAGAATACTAACTGTAGCTGTTATCGCTCTCTGTTTGGGTGGAAAGCTGAAGACGAGTACTGAGTGTATTGACACTGGGAAGGAGTGGACAGTGACAGGATCACATGAGGACCAGAACAGGGTTGTGTTCATTAGGCCCCAAAAGGAAGAAAAGGGACTGAAACCGGGAAGTGCTACCTGAACTTGTCCAATAAGAAACATTTGTTTTCCGCTGCAGAACATTTTGCCATGTTGTGTCCTGATTAATAAGTCCCAGACCGTTACTTACAGTTACTGATTGACATCAGATGAGACTTAACCATGGAGATCAAGGATTCCCTTCACATACGTTTACACTAGCAGGGTGAACCTCCATCTTTTGTCTTTGTCACGTTGTCCTGTAGCCGAGTAAACACCAGACTAGGACTTAAGAAGTATGCCAAAGTGAGACTAGGACTATAGCAGACTCAACGTGTGCAAATTGTCTATTTACAAAGATTGTGTGTCCAAAATGGTGGGCTCTGCAGAATGTGGATTTAGTAACATGCCTCTATGCTCAGATACTGTATTACTTAACACAACCGTGAGCAGGAGACCACATCACCTCTGGATCACTAGGCCAAGGTGTGGTTCGGTTGTCTAATTACTTTCTACAGAGAGAGGAGGAACAGTAGAGATGTTGGGACTACTTTGAAATGATATAAAAACACATGATATCCCACATGGCTAAGTCGCTGGCACAAGTCCTGCTGAGACTGATGCTGTCCAAATATGAACACTGTAAAGTCGGTTTAACATTATGGTTGACCTTAGTGCTTCTTTTTTGAAGCTCAGAAAGACACATTTGCTGTGGACAAATAGTCAGCAGTGAGTCATGGACCTACAGCTGAACAGAGTTACAGAGTTGGAATCACACAACCTAATGAATGATGAGTGACTGTGTGAAGTCTCCCAATAACTGTGAATGTACTCTCACTGTATAATTGAACCGTTTCTCTCTCTCTCTCTGTGTGTGTGTATGTGTGTGAGAGAGTGAGTGTATGTGTACGTGAGAGAGAGAGAGAGAGTGTGTGTGTGTGTACTGTCCACAGTGTTTTATTTGATACAGCATTCAGTCCAAGGCCATGATTAGAAGAAGTATGGGTACCAAGTATGGGTACCAGGTGATCTCATCTGGAGAAACTCAGGGCCCAAATGATTATTCTAGCCCTGAGTGTTTCTTTGTCAGGTCACATAATCAGGAAAAGCGTAGAGTTTTACTACAGAGATGAATGCTGAAATGTTGTTATATTGATGGCATTAGCATGGCATCGACCAAGGCTAATCACTAACCAAACCGCTGCTAGACTGTATAGACTCAACGTGTGCCGTAATTGTCAAGTCAACATTGTCGTGTCGTGGTTGAGAATAATTTAATAATTTTTTTGTCCAAGCTGAATAGAACTGTTTGATAGTTTAGATAGCAAAGACAATGCATTTTTCAATCACTATTCTCCAGTCCTATTTTAAACCATCCCTTGTCATGTTTCACGTTATCCATAAACTGTTGCTATTGCTGTTATGTACAGAATAATGTTCAAGAAAGACCCGTCTTTGCTTCAGCTGGTATCAGGGGCGGCCTGTTCAATAGGGCGATATGGGCGACGCACTGCCAAACGGGAAAAGGAAGGGATTTTTTTTCTAATCAATTATATCACGGCAACAGTAGTTATCAGTGTTGTAATCTATACGTCTGATCTGCCACAGTGCCACACTGCCACTAAATGTCGAATCAGGCTAAAGTCGTGCTTCAAATGGCTCCCCCCCCTTTTGGGGCGATTTCAGTCAGGTTGAAAATCGCCCAGAAGTCTCTCATAGCCTCTAATGTAAAATCTATTTTTTTCAAATTTCAGAGCCTTCAATACAATCTCTATGGGTGTCTGAGGGCTTGCACTTACGCGCTTTCGTCATACGTAACGTAACGTAACCATGAACGTAACTGAGAAAAGAGCGGATTGTGTCTTTGAAAGAAGTTCCTTTTTGTCGGCGAACAAATGAAGATAAATTGGCAACGAAACAATTAGGACCTCCCAGACCAAATTTAATAATTCAACAGGTTTCTACTAAAGGCGGAAAGTCCTACACCCGAGGATTTTCCAAAAATTGGTACGAACGGAAAAATAACATTGCCACTCAACTTGATGAGGGATACAGGCTAGCTGTCCGCCGCCACAACGATGAGGTTAGTGTTGATAATCACAAGTTTACTGGAGAACTGAGACCAAGTAGAGACTTTGGACAGGGTGGATATGGTATAATAAAGGCAGTTTATTCAGAGGTAAAGATATCTGGAATCGCGTGCACGGACCCGTTCGTCAAACTCTTAGGGAGCTATAAATTAAGCCCCATTACTTACCATATCAGATAAGAGAAATTGCTGCAGCTACATATATTTTACATCCTGGCCCTACATAGTTCACTATTTGCATCACTTACCAAAATATTACATGTGGTCATATATGCTTGGAAAGTGGAGATGCCATAGAACGTCAAAAAAGTAAACATTGCTGGAGACACATTGCCGTTTTGGAGAAGACATCGCGTTTGCTAGCGAAGAGATTTGTTGTGGCAAATGAACTTGGGCTGGGAATTGCCAGGAACCTCACGATAAGATATATGCATCAGCATTGCGAGTCTCATGATTCTATACGTATTGCGATTCGATACTGTGATTTTATTGCGCACCATATGTCTGTTGCAGAGGGATCAGAAAGCCATGAGAACGAGTTTTGATCAGTCATGGAAATAAAAGTGCTGAAAACAAATTGGCTCCCAATGTGAAAAGATTGAGAACAAGCTATGAAGGAACAATAATGGTGTTTTGGTGCAGGTACAGCCAACTAGCGCTAAAATATTGCGATATTGTCAATACAGTATATCGTAAAGTATCACTATGTAACTCGATTTCTTTCACCCCAATCCCTCAAATTAACGGTAAATAACTGAATTGTTTGCCCCACATTTAGCTAAGATGATTAGCTAGCCAGCTAAAATGTTTTATTTAGTTAGCAGTCGCATCTACAATAGTTTACTGTCAATAACATGTCTCCAAAAATGACGTGGTGTCTCCAATTGTGTTGACATTTTACAATTGCGATGCGCATCCATGAGTATCCACTTTCTGTAGCTCAGCTGGTAGAGCATGGCGCTTGTAACGCCAAGGTAGTGGGTTCGATCCCCGGGACCACCCATACACAAAAATGTATGCACGCATGACTGTAAGTCGCTTTGGATAAAAGCGTCTGCTAAATGGCATATTATTATTATTATTATTATCTGAAGAGAGCCCCGAAACATTGTGTGCAGACATTTTATGCAATAAATGAAGTAGGTTGAATCTAGTAGTTCTGATCTTCTGATTGGTCCTGATGAGTTGGGCGAGGTCCCCTCCAGGCTACTGTCACTGTTGCATTGGCTCTGAGTCGGGTTCTCTGTCTTCAAATGTTCAGCCTAAGAGAGGGGATTTTTGTGTGTGTGTGTGTGTGTGTTTAACAGTGATGATGTGTGTGTGTGTGTGTGTGTGTGTGTGTGTGTGTGTGTGTGTGTGTTTAACAGTGATGATGTGTGTGTGTGTGTGTTTGTGTGTGTGTGTGTGTGTGTCCTCAGAGCAAGAACTCGTGAGTTGGAAGAACTGAGAGGCCTATGGCGTGGGTGTTGTCCTTGGCCACCTGCTGACAAGGCTGACAAGATAGGACCCTTTTGTCCATTGTTATTGGATAGGAACAGAACTTATAACCAGCTCCTGACCTAAATAGATCTTAGCACAACATTTTACTCAACATATCATATTCCATATTCACTATAACAAATATATTTACTACGACATTAGCAAGAACCGCCACATCCTCAGCCGGCTAATCCAGTGTGTGAAGTTTTGCGGAGTGTTTGAGTTAGCTTTGCGAGGCAAAGATGAAACTGAGGGCTCCACCAACCCTGGTAAGCCAACACTTTCGAGATCAGTCAATAAATGCTTCTGGTATTGACTTATATGCTGCCCCTGTCTTCATGTTGTTGCTGGACATATCTTTTTTAAAATGTGTGTAGGTCACCTAAATCATCAGAAAAATTGCCCCCCCTGAGAATTTTTTCAGGAGCCGCCACTGGCTGGTATTGAATACTGTAGTGGTCTTCATTGCTGTAAATTAAGCAGCGCTAATCTGTTTATCAATCAAGCAACATTGCTTCAAAGCCCAAAGAAGAAATCCACAGTTTGATCAGTTACAATTCAAAATGGCAGACTTCAAAAACACTGCAGGTCATGCTACAAACACCGATAAAGCTCTACCGCATCATGGATTCATTTATAGTTTGGCAGCTGTTTGACCTGCATTTGACCCAAGTTTTATAGCTGGTCTTCAGGCTTGCCGAGTCATGTCGTGTTTGAGATGATGAGCTCATCCCAGGCTACCTAGGGCAGGACAATCACCCACCTACCCCATACTCTTTCTGAGAGGTCAACTCTGCTCATCCCAGGCCACCCATCTAGGCCTAGGGCAGGACGATCACCAACCTACCCCATA